TCCCACAGAGGGAGAGACGCAGAGGCCGCCCCAAAGCCGGCTAATCCCCGGCACCCCCAGGGTTTTCCTGGCGCTCAGGCAGAGCTCGCCGGAGAGCCAGATGGCCCAGCCCGGCACAGCTGGGCGGCCGGCGGCAGGGAGGCCGCAGCTCCTCGGCACAGACTGGGGCGGCTGCACAGCGGGGCCCGGGGATAGGATCTGGGCTCCCCTGATGATCAGAGGAGCAGGAGGCCTTCAGCTGGAGAAGGAACATGGCCTCCGGGCAGGGCTCCTGGAGCAGAGCGCAGCCGTCAAGGTGAGCCGCAGCTGTGCAGGGCTCCATGCGCACTGGAGTTCCAGCTAGGGCTCTTATCCGTGGCACTGAGCACGGGCGGGGCTGGCTGACGGGAAGGGGTAGGGGAAGGCGGGAAGGGGCAGGGGAAGGCACATCAGGGCTTCGTTTCCTGAGACCGCTGTCCCCACTGCAATGCACGTGGGCATTTCCCGACACTGCAGCAGGCGCATTCTGGGCATTCACTCAACGCGCCCTCACCACCGCTCTGCCGGGGAGACTCGGTTACTGTCTCCATTTCAGAGAGGAAGAAACAGGCTCAAAGGGCTGCAGGGCACCTTGGTGGCAGGACTGGAACCCTCAGCCTCAGCAGCCAGATCGTCCCACCTGGGGAATTACACGATAGGATCATCTTGGTTCTAGGTTCGAAACCAAACCAGCCCACCCAGAAAACGAATGAATGAGTCCCAGAAATAGATCATTTAAGTTCTCTCAGGCAATTGATGGACATTTAGCATCTCAACACAACAGCCCCTTCCTCCCCTCCCACTGCCTCTCAGCTCCGCTCCTCCCCCATGTCCCTTCCACCAGCCAGGTCACCTGTCCCTCACCTAAGCCCGAAAGGGAGCGGCAGTTCCTGGGGAAGCCCCAGTCCATGACATTTGGCAGGTGCTCAAACACTTCCTGAGGGGCCTGACCTCCATGCAAGCCAGAAACCTCTAGAAGCTGGACCAGCACTGGGACAGACATTGCCAAGGGTCACCGGTGGCCAAGCCCAGCTTCTCAGAACAGGGAACTTGCTACGCCAGCCCTGGTCACCTGCCAGGGAGCTACAGACATGCACACTGCCTGTCCCCTTCTAATCCAGGGAACGCCAGCCTTTTCTCCTCCCCTCAAAGCCTCAGCCTCCATCCCAGGACCTCAGACAGCAAAGAGGATGCAGCCACCCCACACCGCCATGGGACCAGGTGTTTGTGGCTGACACAGACAGGACAAGGAGCTACTGTAGCCAGTGGGGAACCCGGGCGAGAGCCCCCTGGGCAAAGGTTCCCATTGTAAGCAACAACTAGTGACTCACCCTATCCCAGCCCTGTCAGCCTTCCTTCCGCCCTTCCTGGGACTCATGCTTGTCCCTGCCTCAAGATGGTGGTCCCTGCAGCTCCCCTGAGACACTCTTTCCTCTACCTCCTAAGGCCAGATCCATCCTGTCTTTTAAAAGTCTCCAACATGACAAGGACATCGATGACCACCCACCTAACATACTCCCTACTGTGCTGTCACCAATGTGGTCAGCTGGACCCGCTAACGTGTCTGCTTGCTCATCCTCCACTCTGGATTGAACTGTACCCCTTAAAAAGATATGAGGTACCCGCTTGTGTGACCTCATTGGAAATGCAGTCTCTGCAAATGTTAAGATGGAGTCAAGATCGGGGCCAGTAGGTAACGTGGTGGTGAAGACACTGGACTCCCACGTGACCACGGTTTGAGTCTCGGACCAGGAGGCTTTCTCTCTCTCTCTCTCTCTCAATAAGACACACACACACACACACACGCACACACACACACACACAAGCTCATATACTGCACGCAAATAGTCCCAAGTGTATTGACTTAGTGGAAAAGTGGGGAAAACATGTACTCTACCTCTCCCCAACTTCCCAGAAAGAAAGAAAAAATTGTAACTGTCAGAAATGTGATTGGATTGTCGAGGACATGTGGAAAAAAAACCCAAACCAACCATGTAAGTTGTGAAACATAAATCCCAATTCTATTTGTTCTGCGACAGTATATAAACCACACATTTTTCATCAAGATAGAAAATTAAAACCCTCACCAGGTTCAGGATTGCTAGGGAAGTTGGATAGAAACCCTACTGTCCTGGCAAAAGGAGAAACATCTGTAGGCTGCCCTGGGCCCCAAGGATGCTTCAGGACCATGGACAGCAGGACTTGGCTGGTTCCCTTCTGTTTCCCGAGGAGGGTGTCTCTCTCTCTCTCTCTCTCTCTCTCTCACACACACACACACACACACACACACACACACATGAGCACATGTGCCCTACAGCAAATTTTTAAATAATAAAAAAAATGAAAAAATAGGATGGAGTCAAGGTGAATTAAGACGAGGCTGCACTGGAGCCGGGTGGGTCTCCACTCAATATAAGAAGCTGTCACGCAGAACACCGCCTGCAGACAGGCTGGGCCATGTGATATCACGGTCCGACACGAGACAGCTGCAGCTGTTGGCCAGGGGACACCAACCACCAACAGCCACCTCCAGAGCTTCAGGGAGGCAAGGAAGGACCCTCCCTGCGGGTTTCAGGTGGAGGGACCCTCACCGACACCTCGTTTCAGATGCCCAGCCTCCAGAACTCTGAGAGAGTGAAGTTACATTGCTCTCGGTGCCCAGCTTGTCACGACAGGCCTGGGGTACTCACACACCTGGCCAGGAGTTCCAGGCAAGGTCCCCGTGCTCTAACTCACCCATGTGCTCCACAGTCCAAGTTCTGAGGACAGCATGGGCATGGGGGTGCTCTGTGGGAGGTGACGTGGATGAACCACTGAGGCCGCACATCTCCAAGCACACTGAGTCCCTGGCCTCTTGCTCGCTGAGCTTCCAGCACCTTCCTCAACGGAGAGCACAGGAGTGCACAGGAGGGTGGGGCAGGCAGTGGAGACCCCATCGCAGGAAGGGCAGTGCCTAGGGATGCTGGCAGGTAAGCAGTGAGCTCCTGCCTTGGGGGCATCCTTGCAGCCACTGCTCTGCTCGAATGACACAGAGGAGAGCACAGGTGACCCGGGCCACTCTCTTGGCCCTGTCCAGCCAAAGCCACCTGGGGCTGCTGCATTGCTGAGTTCAACCTCTTGACAGGGCTTTCCGAGGTAGGTTGGAGAGCCTGCCAGGAGGCCCAAGGTGTGAGCAGGGTCCGATAGAGTGCTGTTGATGAGCGAGCTGGGCACCCGCCTTGCCCCAGTCAACCAGCCTTTGCGAGACCACACAGCCAAGCGCCTCGGGGCTTTGTCTGCAAGCAGGGCAAGCGTCCCGTCTCCGACCCGGAAAGAACTCAACGCCTCTCCTGCAGTTGGCCTCCGAGTCGGGGCACAGCTCCCCAGAGTCAACTGGGCTCCTGAGTGCCCTGAGTCAGACTCAGGGTGAAGACCCAAGCTGTCTGCCCTCACCTGTGCCAACCTCAGTCCCCTCCAGCCTGAGCACAGCAGGGTGGAGTGTGGCGGGAGGGGCCCTAAAATGGAAATCCGAGCCACGCTGAGATGCCACCTGTCACCCATCAGAATAAGGAAGGTGAAAAGTTTGACAAGACCGAGCTGGGGTGCACATGGACAAACGGGAAGGCCCTGCCCCTTGGCCAGGGCAGTAGGAGCCGAAGGACCCTTCCAGGGAGCGAGCACTCACTCGCATCCTGGCGTATGTCCCGGGCGTGTCTAGACCGTATGTGCAGGTGTATCGACAGAGGTGCCTGCCGCGGCATCTTCTGTGAGAGCAGAAGGACAGAGATGCCACCACGTGCTCACAGGGACCTGGCAGGACACCTGGTAGCACGACCCACACGGGAATCGTGCAGCCATTGCAGGGACAAGGTCACCCGGTGTGAACCAAGAGTCGCAGCTTATCATCTGTGATAAAAGCAAGACGCAGATCCGCGTGTGCAAGCACACACAGGCACACACACCTGCTCACTTGAGGAGACTCAAGGGCCTGGCAGCAGGGGAGCGGGATGCAAAGGGAGGGGGCGCCCTGGTTTTCACTGTGGTTACTTTTCTGCATGAATTTTACACCATGGACACAGCTGCCCTATTCAAAGACAAATGTGTAGGACATACTTCTGTAAGCAGGGCTCCGGCCTCTCCACCCCTGCCCAGGTCCTGATGTGGTCACCTGCCCTCTGGGTGCCTCACCCAGGCTTCGGGTCACTTCCATTCTCCCCATTTCACAGATGAGACACCACCTCAGACGTTGTAAGGATATTGTAAATATGAGACAACGAATGCAAAACAGGAAACACCAAACACCCCACCCCGAGCAGCAGAGCATGGCGAAGGGAGAGTGATGGTCCCTCGGTCCCTACCTGCGGTCAGTCCCTTTTCCAGCTGAAGACGCTAGGGCTGACCAGGAGGCGCTGCACCCCCACTGAGGACCATGTCGTAACCTGGCAGGGGTGGAGTAAGGGGTAGGGAGGAGGGGAAGCCACGGGGAAGCATGACCTTGGCCGTCCCCACTCAGGGCTGCAGGAAGTACCTGACAGATGTCCCAGCCCTTGTTCTTGGCCTTCTTACCTCCCTCAGGACCTTGGAGCTGAGGGGTCTTGAGAAATTCAGACTTTCTCAGTCCCTGACCTAGCAGTTCTTGGCTCAGAGCTCTCCGCTGTTGGGTTTCATTTGGTTTCTTTCTCCCCCCACGTTATTACCAATGCCACTTTCACTGGTCACCAGACCAGTGCTGGGTTTGCGTGACGAGGAGAGAGGCAGACCCCTGCACCCCCAGGGAGGCAGGCAGCCAGAGCCCCACACACGCCCAAGGGGGCTGTACGGCCCAGGCCCCGGCTACTGCATGCACCGCCACATGCCACACACCTTTCCCAAAGATAGCCAGGACGGGGCCAGCAGTGGACGCCACCACAGCTGGTCTTACCCCCCTCTGGCCTGTCCCCTCCCTTCCTCTGCCACTGGAGGCGAGGAGGGCCACCGCGCCCCAGCCCCAGTGCAGCACCCACCTGCCCAGGTGTTCCTGGAGCACCTGGTAAACGCTGATGCGGAACGTCTCGTTATCAAAGCGTTCCCGGATGTAGTCCTTGTAGATCCGGAATTCGGCTGCAGTCACGGCCTCCCCCTCTGGGATCTTGGAAAGATCAAACCGGAACTCCCGATGGTGGTAGCGCGGGTGGAAGAACTCCTTGTCGTGCTCCACTGCAAGGGAAGAGCACACACCAGCACCACGGCCGTCAGTGTCGAGGCGCTCCCCAAGGAGGCCCTGCACCTCGCATAAGCTGGACGATCACATGCCCACTGCTGGGAACCCCGGTCACACGCTGCGGGTGGGAGGGTCCCAGGCTTAGAGCCCTGGCCACCTCAAACAGCAAGACCACGACTCTGCATCCAGCTGCTGGGCAGCGTGGCACCGACCAGCTGCCCAAGAGGCCATGTCCAGGCTCAGGTCCTGGGAGATCAGACCTGGGTTCGAATCCTGGCTGTAGACACAGTGCCAGGCAACCTATGCAGGCCTCAGTTTGATCACTTCGAAAGTGAGGATGACGCCCCACTGCACGGCAGTGAAGAGCCAGATACCACAGGGTCAGCCATGGTTGGGGTCCCAGCTCCCGCTGCGGTTGGACAATATGCCAAACACACGCGTATGTACCCACATTCCTGAGGGGAAGAAGGAGGGAAGGGACTGCAGCGTGGTTGGGCCCCCCTGGGACAGGGTGCACTCTCTCTCTCTCTCTGGTAAGCACATGTGCCCTCAAGAGAGAGAGAGAAATAAATAAATAAACAAACAAACAATATATGTGTGTGTGTGTATGTATTTAACGGGATAATGATCTTCCTTCATGAGTCACTGTGCAGGTTGAGCAATCTAATTCACACAGGGAGCTTACCATCCGTTTGGGTCAGACAGCTGTGAACCATTATTGGTAAATACAATCCTCACTGTGCCGATCATGGGATACCCTGGCCATGGCCCTCAGCCCTGGCTACACATAGAAATCACTGCAGATGTTTTTATAGCTAGACTGCTGCCCTGGCCCAGTGGCAGGCTGGTTAGTGTTTAACAAGCTCTCTGGGACCTGATCTGTCGCATGCCCATTTCTGTGGTGTAAATACTGCCATCTTGCCAGATTTCAATCTACTCAAGTGAGCTCACTCAACATGGAGCTCTGGCACACTGCTATTCATACTACGCACCTGGAACCAGGTAGGTCCAGGTCGGACCTACCCTTTTTAAAGCACCTCCCCATAGTCTAATGAGTAGCCAGAATTTACGACTGAAGTCTTCAGCTACAAGCAGCAAAAAAGGTGAATGGTGGAGTCGAGGGCTTTCAAGAATAACTTTGGGTAAAATTGGGCAAGGCCCTCGATCCTTCTCTGGTCTCCTAGCAGCGACGTCAGACCAAGAAGCACGCCCATTTCACAGTGATGGAGACTGAGTGGAGAGAAGCCACGTGTTGGGAAGTGGGCCTGTGGCCCACGGTCACAAACGCGTGGAAGAGATGAGCAGCCATCGCTTTACAACACGCGGCCCTCACCCTCCTGGGTCGCCCTCACGGGACTCTCAGGCCTCCCTCCCAACCCTCCAGCCACTGTGTTCGGCCTCTTTATCCTCCCTGCCTGGCTAGTGTGCCTCAAGACTCACGCTCGGCCCTCTTCATACTCCGCAGCCTCCCCTGGGAGCTCGTGTAGCCCCAAACTGTGGTTAGAGTACACATGCAACGACCCCCACATGCAAGACTCCACACCTAGCTCCTGCCCGCCGGCCCCACTGCTCCACTCCCTGTGACCCTCTTCTGTGGCTACTGGTGCACCTCAAATAACAACTCTAAATCTGCTCCAGCCGCACAGGAACTCCCTCTGCTCCAGACTGGGTCTCTTCTAACACGTCCTTATCCCAGCTGAAGGTCCCCTCACCCAGCCCCTACTCAAGCTGAGTCCCTACAGTCATCCTAGACAGCTCTGTATCGTCTTAGTTCTTTTTTCTTTTTTAAAGAGGTTTTTGCTATAGGGCACGTGTGCTCGCCAGACAGACAGAGACAGAGAAACAGAAAGCGAGAAATCACCCCCCAGGGGGGATGGTCATGCCACAATCCCTTCTCCTCCATTCTCCTCTTGGGATCTTGGGCACGCACACACACACCCGGTGTGAGTTTTAAGCCACCGGGTCCAGGACGCAAACCGCGGTAGACTATGTGGGAGTCTAGCGACATAGCCATTACGCTAACTGCTGGTCCCCCGTCTTAGTTCTTAAACCCACTCACTGCTCTGCAGCTGCCAGAAGTCCAGTCTCGAGGGCTGCCAGGAGGAGGAGGCAGCCTTTTGGTATTTCCACTCTAGACTACCAGGAGTACTGACCCTACCCCGTCGCTGGCAGGCCACACAGAGCCTCTCTCTAACCCTTCCTCTGCCAGCACAGCCAAACTTCCAAAGGCCAGGAAGAGCCTTAAGCATGCAATGCTTAACTCTCAGCAAGAGGGCTGCTCCTACCACCACATAGCTGCCCTGAACAAGGTGAACACAGCTGCGGTTCCCAGCTCCCAGCACATGGAGGGACCACACTTCAGTCACTCCAGGGACAAACATGACCACCAACCACACAGACTGGGGGTGGGAACCTCCTGGGTGTGGCCTAGCCCCCGGAAGTCCAAACGCATGTTGCTGAGGGCTTACTTGTGGTTAGTCCCATGTGGGCACTCTTAGCCATCCTCAGACACCTGGAGAAGCAGGGTGGGTCCCCACTGTACAGACGAGGAAACCGAGGCCTGTGGGGCCGATAACGTGCATGAGGTCAGCTCAGTTAGTGGCTGGTATCTGAAGCCGGGCTCCTGACCTTCACACTGTCTGAGCCAGGCTGCTTGAGCCTAGCCCGCAGCTGCAGATTCGCAGCTGTGTGACCACGGCCAAGGTACTTAGCTGCTTGGCCCTTCTCAAGGAGACGTTGGGAAGATTGCAGGAGCCAGGACCCAGAAAAGTACCTGGCCGGCCCAGCCTGGCGGTACAGTCAGTAGCAATCTGACCTGCCATGCTGGAAGTCCATGGCTGACCACTGGCTCAGACCCCAGGTTGGCCTGAAAATACCTGCAAGGGCCCACAATCATGATGGTCTCAGAGGGCCAGGGAAGAGGATAAGTCTGACAAACCCTGTCCCCGGCTCCTCCGTCTCTCCACACACATGTGTGCACACACACACACACTCCATCATAAATGAAATACACCTGAAATATTTCTAAAAAAAAGAAAGAAAAGTTCCTGGCATATGGTAAGCAATTCGTGTTCGCCATTAATGTGAGGCCACTAAAATAGTAACACTGCAGGACAAGCCGCGGGCACACGGGTACTCAGACAGCTCAGTTATGGTAAGTAACTATATTTGTTAAAAAGAAAAGAAGGCCATAGAGAAAACAATGGATGTTGAATAAGCATATGGCACGAACAGGTACAATCATTAAAGTCGCACCCTAGGAAGAAACGAGACACTGACACATAATTGCAGATATAAATTGTTGCCCCAGTGCGCATGTAACTTCTGATGTGTAAGGCAGACCTATCTCAACTGTTAGGACACATCACCCTCCCCACCCAGAGAGGGCATTAGGGAAGGGTTATAAAGTTTCTTTTCAAGAAAGAAACTCTTGGATGAAATGAGCGACTAAATTTCTTGCCAACATTGTGAGCTCTTTGCATTCCCCTTCATTTATTATTTGAAGACACTGAGACCTTGAGACCTTGAACGAGGTCATTCTACCCTTCCTGAAGACCACATCACATGTTCTGCAGATAATTCTGTATGAATTCTCAAAGAAAGGACAGTCGTTGAGTTTGCCCTGCCCATCAAAAAAGAAAAAGAAAGAGGGAACCAGCAGTTAGCGTAATGGCTATGTCGCTGGACTCCCACGTAGTCGACCGCGGTTCGTGTCCTGGACCCGGTGGCTTAAAACTCACGCCGGGCGCGTGTGCGTGCATGCCCAAGATCCCGAGAGGAGAATGGAGGAGAAGGGATTGCGGCGTGACCATCCCCCCTGGGGGGTGATTTCTCGCTTTCTGTCTCTATGTCTCTCTCTGTCTGTCTGGC